TAGAGTGTGTTTTTCAGAGCATCCACTGCAATGTTGTCGGGGACGTCTACCTTGGAAACGACCGCCTGGAACTATTCCATGAACTCTCGTAGGCTCTGACCCCGCACTTGGGAGAGTTTCCACAGGTCGGAGGGCGTTGCCTTCTGGTTGGTAAACATGATGTAGTGCTTGAGGAAAGTTGTTTACAAGTCGCGGAAGCTGTCAATTGAGTTCTCCGGTAATCAGGAGAACCAGTTCAAACCGGTAATCTGGACATTGCGATGTTGAACGCTGTCATATGTAAGTACGGCGGCGATAGCTGCGAGGTGCTCGTCTGTCGTCTTCTGAGCTTCTTTTTGCTGAGAGAGACGGGCCAAGACGGAATCCATTAGGGTTTCGACGTTCCGAACTGGTGGTGTTTCTTCCGACTGTGCATCGGAAGGAACTTCTTCTTTCATATTTGCGTCACACTACTTCGTTTTGCCCCACGGTGGGCGCAAACTTTTTGTACCGAGTTCAGTCGTATATCAGTAAAGTTAGTGACTGGACTCGTCGGTGGGTTATTACAAAGTATGAACAAGCACGAGTAAGAGACGGAGTTTTATTTATAATCGGGAAGGGTCTACAGAGAATAAATCCGGTGCTCGGAGAGCTTAACCGGAGATGTCGTACAGACTAGTTGGTAAACAACAGGGAGAATAAGATGAAAACCCTAATACAAGTTGCCGCCTAGTCATTCTATTTTCGGATCCCCTTCTAGTTGTGCCTCCTTCCCCTTTTATAGTTGATCTTGAAAGAAATTGAAGAACAAAGTGATGAACAAAGTGAAGAACAAGAGAGAGAGATAATTCTGAGAGAGACAGAGATAAGAAGGATTCTCTTTTTTTCCTTAATTAAATCAATGTGCCTTAGAGCAAAATAAATAGGCAAGATGCCTAAAATAAAAAATAATTAAAATAATACAAGTTGGTACACAACGGTCAAATGCACGTGGGAAGGGCAGAAGTAGAACATTTGAATTTCCCATATGGTCAAGGTCTCCTTCCATCATGGTCAAACATTGCACCCATGGTCATCGTATTTGTAGTTGACCATATGGTCAAGCTTGTACCATCGCTCTCCTTCCGTCATGGTCACGCTTGCACCAATTGTCATTGTATCTGAAGTTGACCATATGGTCAAGCTCTTCATGGTCACGCTTGCACCAATGGTCATCTTATTTGTAGTTGACCATATGGTCAAGCCCTTCATGGTCACGCTTGTACCAATGGTCACCTTATTTTTATCTTAGTAATTCCTTCATGTCAACACTCCCCCTCAAGCTTGACCATGTAGAACAAGTCAAGCTTGGAAGCCATGAAGCAATCTCCCATTAAAACCTTAGCTAAGTAAAACTCAATGGAATAAAACCTAAGCCAAGGAAAAAGAGTAGATCACTTCATAGAGGAGAGATCAGTGACATGAGAGATCTATAAGTCCTAACCTTGGAAGGATGGACTCACAAACCTTAGTGCTTGCTGCCTTTGTCAAGATATCAGCCAGTTGATCTTCACTTCTAGTGAAACATGGGAGTATTATTTTCTGCTCCATAGCTTGTCTCACCTTGTGACAATCCACTTCTATGTGCTTTGTTCTCTCATGAAACACTGAGTTGGTTACAATGTGAATGGCTGCCTGGTTGTCACAGTGTATGGTCATGAGTGTAGTGATCTCTATACCTAAGTCTTTCAGCAGTCCCTTGATCCATATAAGCTCACTGGTCAGTTTTCTCATTGCCCTATATTCAGCCTCAGCACTTGAACAAGACACCACCTTTTGCTTCTTGCTCTTCCATGTCACTAAGTTGCCTCCAATATATGTGCAATATCCAGTAGTTGATCTCCTATCAACTCTATCTCCAGTCCAATCAGCATCACAATAGCCAACAACCTCAGTGCTTTTCTTACACGCCATCCACACACCTTGATCAGGGGCTTCCCGTAAGTATCTTAGGATCCTCTCCACCATGTTCCAGTGATGAATCTTGGGTGTTTGCATATGCTGGCTAACTTGATTCACAGCT